AGCCCACTGGTTACTCTTCATTTCAACACGGATTGCTCCAACATATTTGTGCAGTCTTGGAGGTCCCGCACATATCCTCTCCGTCGGTTCTTTGATAATATGTCTCGTATGTTTTCCGATATAATCACAGCTCGTCACAAAGATAAAATGCAGAGACACAATGCCATCTGGACTCCCTGTCTGGACAACTTTTTCCCACCTGACTTCCAGCTAAATTCCCCTTTTCTATGACCATGTCTAAGTTGGCCTCTCTCTTAGCAATAATGGACTGGGTGTGGTCACCCCCCTAATACGTTGCCTGTCCCCACTCTTGTAGTTTTCTTCCTTTCTCTTCTACTTCTTTCCTTCCTCCATTTTTTTTCTCCTCATCCTTATTGCCTCATTCAATTTCAAAATGTTTATCAAGTTTTTACACAAAAACATAGACATGAAGACTATATAAAACAGTCAGCACACAAGATATCAAGGAGAGACACGGCAGAATAGAAGACATAGTCCATGGATCGTATTTATTGCCTCTCCTTCAAGTCGCTCTCCGAGTTGAGACCTCACTCCGTTGTGGTTGCTTTCCTTCCCTGGGTACTTCCATTGTACTTGGTAATATGGAGTAGCAAACTTGGAAGATAACATCCATAAACAATGACTGTATTGTTCATGATTGCTCATGTTCTTTCTACAACTGTATTCTTAAATGTGCAATGTATGCAGGGTTTTTTTTATTTATTAGCTCATCTGTTAAAACTTGAAAACCAATAAATTATTTTGGAACGAAAAGCAGCATGTTCCATTTTCACCCAGTGCACATCAATGCAATGCCCAATTGTGGTATTAATGGGCACTTCATTCACTTACCTGAAGACATATTAGGGGCCTTTTGTGTAGTAGAAAAGATGAATGTGCTTTCTGCAAATTCCAAAGACTAGTTATACAATCTTAGAGAACTCACAAACCACAGGCGAACGGTTCTACAGTTCAACTTTTCTTTTATTCATGTGTGCAATATAACCAGCAATTTTAATATGTACTCTGTTTTACTGTGAAAACAAAACACATCTGGGCTCCAGCTGTGACCTATCATAGCCCAGAAGACATTATGAAGTGGACTACTTGTGTCCAAAAGGAATTCTGAAAATGGATGCGATGAAGCATGGGACTGGTGAAGAACCCAAAGGCCCAAATGACATGCAGCAGCTAACCAGATGTACTTATGGTTAACATATACTGTAGCTAATGGCAGATATTAGTGTATTGACTCCCTTTTAAAGATATCTGTACTTGTCAGCAATATGGCCCTGACCTTTGAGGTGAGTACGAAAGGAACATTGGTAAACAAAAAAACAAATGAGGATTAGAACATGAATGCTCAGCCATATGCAAAAGAAACACTACATAGGTGGCAATCCATGGTGGTCTGGAGAGGTTGGACGCAGAAGGACTTAAGATGTAGATGTTTATCAGTCTATCAGCAAGAATGCTTTGTATGAAGAGACCAGGGCTGTCCAACTCAGACCTTCAGCCAAGTATGATTTTTAGTAACTATCAATAATGAAATTGCCTGTGATTCACTACAGAAATCCAGAAAGTAATCTCTTACTGATGTACTGATTGGCTCTCTGTGGCATAAGCTACACAGTGGCAGCAATGACAAATTGCACACTAGAGCAGAATTGCGCAATCACGTGTGATTTATTGCTGTTGCATGGTGCTGTGAGCTTACACCTCACGGAGCTCACTGTCCCAGCTAGTAATGATCTCCTGTCTTATGCTACTAATCTCCTGCAATTTCAATAGGGAAAATAAGATACAAAAAAAAAACCATGGTGGGAGTGTATCAAAACTGGAGCAGGCACAATCTGGAGCAGCTGCGCATAGCAACCAATCAGCTTCTCTCCTTCATTTTCAAATCTTAACTGAACAAACTGAAGAGAAAGGCCGATTGGTTGCCGTGGGCAACTGCTCCAGATTTTGGTAAATCCACCCCCCATGTGTCTAAGGAAGCAGTCTTCAAAGACCAGGCTCCTCCAGTCTTACAATTTCTTCATTCAGCACAAAATAAATAAAGGAACGATTGAAAGTTTTACTTTGTATATAGAGAAGAGATGAAGTGTTAAATGGGAGTTCCAGGCAAACAAATATAAACAATGTTGAACTACATATACAATAATTGTTTTACCTCCAAATGCATGGACCCCTGTGATCTACCACCCCTGCCTCACAGTATGGCTCCACAGCATGTGATGGCTGGCAATACTTTTCAGAGAGATTGCCATCTCTGTCCCACATGCCCAGTTTCCTCTGTGCTCTGCACATTACTCATGATCACCACATTGATGGTGTCTACTCAAGCAAACATCTTTCCCAAGAAACTGCCTTTCCTGCCACTACAAACCTATTCCAGCTTTTATCTACAGTACAGCAGCTCACTATTCACTTGTGAAATTCTCTCGCTGCTGATGGGTGACACAGAAGTGAATACAATTGATCTCTAACACAACTTCCCTGAACCAGTTATTAAGGATTTGCAAACATTGTATAAGATCCATGGGAACAGGAAGTGGACTGGTAACAAATGTTAATAAAACTGCTGCTCACAACGTCAAGGTTTCCTGCCCAGGTGCCCTTGCATTGTGTACAGCCAAGTCGTCTTTTGCCCCTGCTCCATGACATAGTGTATTCTCTCTTAAATGACAAGTTTCCTCAGCTTATTTCTTGTGTGATATTCCATCTCAACTGAGGGACAACCAATCTCAAAACATTTACATGAACTGGTTAACTTTTCCAAATGGTTACAAGGAAACATCATGTTTCAGAGATGCACCTAATCACATTTTTAGTCACTCCTCTGTGTGCCTCTCTAAACATAATTTGTCTTAGTTACTAGATGCCCCAGCAACTGCCATGCCCACTGTCAGATATTAGTGCCTCAGTGGCAAATAAGAGCCCTCTGACTGGACTAGAACCTGGAAGGTTGTAGGGCTTAGCCTTGAAGGCAGGGCCCTAGGAAGAAATTGATCCTAGTTTCTGGCTAACAAAAGACAATAATAAGACTTTTTAACATTTTTAAATAGCTGACATGTTCAAAACTTTAAATAGTTTTACACCACGGAAATGGAGGCCATGGGATGACTTATATCTCTACACTATGAAAGGTAACCTATGATCATATATAGAAGATGGCAATGAGCATTTTGTTTTACGAAGATGCAAACTTTAAGGCTGTCATTCTGGCTTCTACCTGGATCAAGCATGGTGTCCTGGTATACACTCACTAAAGAGTGAGGATGACCTCAGACCCTGCTCCTTCTAAAGCAACTCAGCAAGAGCAGCTTCCATATGCTATATGGACACCTGACCAGGCCAGTAAAGGCTCAATATGATCTGCAAATACTGTACAGAGTAAGTGGACCTGACCATCACACCTACCGTGTTTCCCCGAAAATAAGACACTGTCTTATATTTTTTTTAGCTCAAAAAAACACACTAGGTCTTATTTTCAGGGTAGGTCTTTTCACTCTTCAACCAAGAGAGCATTTGTGAGGTCAGGTATTAATGTTAGACGAAAAGACCTTGCTCACAATCCAGGTTCCAGTGCATTCCAAACCTGTTCAGTAGGGTTGAGGTCAGGGCTCTGTGCAGGCCACTCACGTTCCTCCACACTGTACTCATCAGACAGTGTCTTTACGGAGCTAGCTTTGTGCAGGGGCACAGTGATGCCGAAACAGAAAAGGGTTTTCCCCAAACTCTAGCTTAAAATACATTAACATTCACTGGAAGCCCCTAATATCCATAATTTGGAGGTGCTCCCACATACTTTTGGCCATAATCTGTAGCACTATCATTGTTCCTCTTAAAACCATCTGTATGACCGAGTTATTGAGTTGATAACACTGGGCCTTGCTCTCAGAACCTGAATGTAGACTACAACGCAACCCCTTTCCATTGCTTACACCCACATAAGGTTAATACAATGCATTATGTACTGTATAAGGCCAACACATGACTGGAAAATACCACCCAAATATAACGCTCTTCAATAACAATACCCTGTAAACAATTTCATGAGGTGTTTTTTCATGGCAAACACCACAGTAATAATTTTTAATCACATCTTTACTGCCAGAATAACATGAACAAGGAATGCCGAAAGATTATTAGTTCTCCTATAGTTGTCCTATAACATAATTATTCCGTTTTGCATAATAGAAGGAGAAAATAAAATGATATTATATTGTTATGAGCCCAGTAACTAACAGAAGTTCATAGACTGGTGAATGCAAACTATTTAAACTCAACAGAATCTATTATTCGCCAACAATTCCTGCATCAAGATCTCTGCGCTTGAGTGCCTAGCTCGGCCCCCTCACCACGTTACCACCATTTTGAGTGGGCCACAATTTCACTGCTGAATTTCGCATTCATTTTATGTCACAGAAGATTACATTTTAAGAAGGATGGATACTGGGAACTGTGGAGAGAGAAAAAAAGCCAGTGTGTGTATCAATGAATCCATGCATGCTTGGAGATAGCAGGGATGGACTCCCCCATTAAGCAGAAGGGCAGAGGACAAAACAATAACAGTTCTACTTAACTGCTTTATAGGGACAGACTAGGTAAGAACCTGATCTTGAGCAGCCACCTCTCAAAACACAGTTAAGCCCCACAATAAGTAATATGCCGTTATGTAGGGTGCCCAGTATGTTAAGAAAAGTAGCCAATTTACTAAAAAGGAGTGCCATCACTTTTGCTGTCGCATTCCTAAGTGACGGGAATATTTGTGTCTGTAAAAAATAAAGGCAACTTAAAGACGTTTCACTGGTCATCCAAGTAGCTTCAGAGAAAGTTGGTCGGATGACCAGTGAAACGTCTTCAAGAAAAATACAGCAAGTCCAGTTGCCTTGATTTATTTTGTACAGATGTACCATGACCTGGTTGAATGAGAACCTTCACAGATAAGCATATTTTTGTTTAAGGCCCTTACATTTTAATATGATGGAAATGGGAATTTAAAAAAAAAATATCTTCTTTGTTTGGGCCAATGATGACTACAAACCAGTCAGTACAAGCAAGATGATTTATCAGAGTGGTTTTTGTAATGTGAAATGACAATATCACGAACTGTAGGTTTTACAATTATACATATTTTACATAATATAGAAACAGGAGTTAAAATCATTTCTGTCAATACCCAAATTAAGTGAAGAAAGCAGGGGAGATATTGCCGTGCTCGTTACATACAAGTCCCCCCACGGCAGACTATGGGGAAGCATCTTTCCAGCTCCGCCATCTTTCCACAATACTCATAGCGGTGACTGTCACCCCCTGCAGCACTAGAGGGGAATGATTCAGTGCTATGGTAGATGTTGTCCTCGGCTCCACACAGACAGGGTTTAGTAAGATGTACGCTTTAAGTTTAGTGATGCGGATTTGTGATGTTACAGACTGCCACTGGAAAACGTGAAAAAGAACAGGACATTTACATTCACTGTAGTAAAGCAAAAAAAAGAGAAATCTAACTGCAATCAGATATTTACAAAGAAGAGACATTCAGAGCAGAGTGAGAGTCACAGTGACTCCGGGGAGGGGTTGGTGAGGTTGTAGGGCCTGGGTAGAGATGTTGGTGAAGAAGAGACCAGCGTCATTCTTCTTGTACTGTCCTGTAATTCTGCTTCAATACCAGCCTCACCCTCAAAGTGCTTAGAACACCGTCGTCTTGTGCACATTCTGCAAACACATCAGCAGGCTGTGATAGGGGCTTCCCGGGGCAGCCACCAGCTCGAACACTGACTGGAAGGCCCTGCGGTCCAGCTCTTCATCGATCTGGTGCCTGTAAAAGTCTATGGCCACTAAACAGAACAGGTTGACGTCCACAGGTTCAGACTTGCCCATTCTGCTGATCACATGCGGAAGACTGGGAGGAGGGTTAGGGAAAATGGAACAAAACCATAACACAGAAAACATGAATGTGGGTGTAGATGAGAGTAGCACTGACCTACTAAAGAAACAGAGGCTGTTCAAACAAATAGCAAACACACTCATCAGCTCATAACCAGCTTTAAAGCAAGGTGCACATGGAAGGGCTTTAAATAGTGCAACAGCAAAAAGTTTCCCACCACACTCACCAGCCAGCATGCAATTAAAAAAAAATGTGTCTAACCGCTAATGCTTGCCATTTGTTCTGCTTGTCTGATTTGGTGCAGTGACACATTGGGGGTCTCAGCTGCCATTGTGATGTGCGGGGTCCCTTGGGTGTCCCTGTGCCTTTAAGGAGGTTGGGCTGCCTCCTGGCGAACCTGCACCCAATTATATCTTTTGCTACATGTTCTCCAAGATGGAGACTCTCATAGGTTAGAGTTAGGACCGCACTACACAGAGGTGCCTTGGCGCAGCTGTGCGGCTTTCACATATTCTGCAGAAGACGTGTATCTAAACCTCTGTTTTTAACCTTAGCGGTTAGACAGATTTTTTTGCATGCTGGCTGGTGAATGTGCTAGGAAACTTTTTGCTGTTAGTAAGGAAGATGACCCTGTGTTCACTTCGAATGCCCAATCACGTGTAAGGTCTGATTCACACCTAAGCGGCAGCGTCTTCACACGTAGAAACGCACGTTTTTTGTGTCAAGTTTTGGGTTTAGTTAGCTAATTTGTATTGAAGTTATCGTTTATCACACTGGCTACTTTACAGGAATGGACTTAAATAGTTGATAATCAGATACAGAAAACATTCAGCTGAGGTCACAAGCAATAATTGGAGGATCTTCTAGTCACTAGGTATAGGGCTCAAAGAGTGTGTTAGTTATGAATTGATCAGATGATATTCAGGAGTCCATCCAGCAAAGATAAAGAAAAGCCCGCACGGTTTGCAGATGTTCTCACCACTGTACACATATGACTTGACAATATGGCGCCATTCACACCAGTGCGCTTTTTCCTGCAAGTCATAAAAGCTGCAATATTTCTCATTACTGTCACTTTGCTTGTTTGAGCTTTTTTTTTTTAACTTGCTCTTTATGTGTTTTTGTTTAGAACATCTATAAAAATTTTCCAGATGTGAACTTTCAATCTGGCAAATGACTGGAAATAACAAATGAAAAACAGTCTAGCACATCTAAAAAGCACAGAAGAGAACTCATTTTGCAAATTATGAAAATGTACATAAGTATTTTTTTTAAAGGAAGAGGCGTGACTGAGCATTACGGGCTGAGAACCCGAAACAATGTCACCATAGTCCTACAATCTGCTGATCTATACAAGCGTTTTGTGAGGTTTGACCTTCATGTGCACAGATGATGTACTGAAATGTCCTCAGGGAAATGGGATATGAATACCTCCATCACTTACACAATATTTATCCCCTATGCCCTGTATCGGCAGTGGAAGATGGCAGACACAGGTACTCGTTTTAGACATCCGAGCATTTGCACGAGTACGAGTACTCATGCAAATACTCGGTATCGCGGCCGATACCGATGCTTGTATCGGTATCGGTGCATCCCTAGTTTATACTTAGCCTGGCTATAAAGGATACATTGCAGAAATCCACTTGCTGGTAGATGCACTGACAAAAAAGCAGGAGAGGCTCCACATTGCCATGGCCACCGGAGTTCTCTGTGTAAAGTTAGAGAGAGAGAGCATCACCCAGTCACGCACCATGGAGGACTGGCCAGTGGCATGTAGAGTCTGGAACACCTGCAACATACAGAACAACAGTGAAACCCAAGTCTTAATATGGCAGACAGGGGCTGTGTCATTCCAGCTCCACCAGAAACCACCGAGCAAAGATCATGCAGGCTCAAATGGCCCTTGAAGTGAACCCATGCTTTATTGACAAAACAACAGATAGCCCCATCCAGCAACTTATACTCGCCTTCCTTTTACTCTTCCACCATCAGGGGCAAAGGCAAATACCTGGAACTTCTAGGTATGGGCGAGCGTGTGACTAAGGGCCCATTTACTCTATGGTGGTGTTGCAAAAGCGTGCACTACCGCAAAACCACTTGTAAAGCGGTGCCTTGCATTCTGAATGCCACACCAACACACCTTCCAACGCACATTGCACTACCAAAAAATGGTGCATGCATCAAAATGGTGCACCGCAGAACACCCCTATGCAACACACAACAGTCTGTTGGAAGGCATGTCTGGGTGCCATTCAGAGTAATGAGCGTTGTTAAAGATAATACAAATTCAGCAACTGGTACATGTATTGCTTATATGCTTGCATGCACCACCATCTGTGTTTTGTGCATCAAATAGTCAAGTAAGAGCCTGGGCAGGTCTCCCTCCCTCAGTGCACACAGGGACTCTGGTGTAGATCCAGCTTTCCATTAGAGTGCAGCAAATCAATCAGCACATGTGTATTCACCCTTGGTTAATAAGTTGTGGGTTACAATTACATTGTAAATGTTGCCTGCGGAGATAAATATGCTTTTATTACAGTATGTGCATGCGTGGGAAGGACCCCTGAAGGCTGCCTAACCCCATTACTGAGAAAAGCGGATATTATGGTGTTAACTTATTCAGAGCCGCTTGGCCTGGCAATGTCACACACAGCAGGACCTTCTGCTGAGAGAACTCAACTAAACTCCCATTTCCGACACCTCGGTGCACACACTGCAGGAATCAACAGGGCCGGATATATGCAAACACCAGCCAGTTCTGAGGCTCTGCCTGACTTTGTTCAAAAAAACCATTATTTGCATTGCAAATATAACCCTGAGAATTGATAATGAAACGCTATATGTAGCACAGCTAAAAAAAGACATTGAATACAATAAGGTCTAGTCCTTAACCCCTTCATGATTGAGCTTGTTTTTAGTTTATCAGAAGGACAGGAAGACACAGAAACTAATGACACAAGCGATTTTCAAGAATAAGATACACTCACCTTGTAAACGACAGCTGCCATGAACTGTGGGTAGGGTTGCTGATTGGATAAAAACTCCCCAATAACCTTGTTCATTACATCTTGAGGAGGGAAAAAGTCATCCAAAAACTGTGGAAGGATCCTGGCCACCACCCTTGCCTCGAAGGGGAATCCTTTCCGGATTCTGTCCAATAGAACAAAGGGAAAAGAGAATCAGCTGAAGCAACTTGGAACAGATTATAAACCGACAAGTGATGTTTGTTTGGATGCAGTTCAATAACTTTCATGTGCAAATAGCTACTACAGATATGAAATACAAACACAGGAAGTGTTAGGTTGTAAGTAGTATGCTGCTGGTCTGTCTACACATGATATACTATATATCTGGATACCATCAGGAAGGTGCCAATACCTGGCATGCTGTAGAACCTATAGCACTATCACTCCTCCTTGCTGATCTTTGGATGGAAAATGAGGTCAATCCCAAGCACTTTACTCTCCTGTAAGCCAAATCAATTACCCAATTTACCCTTCTTCCAGCCCATCAACTTGTATAACTGACACTTACACTGCAAGCCTAGCCGAAGCTTTCAGCTAGCGTGTGTTGCCGCTCAATACCAAAAGTCAGAAAAAGAAATTAAGTACACAATTAATTAAAAGTTAATTGTGTACTGAAGAACCATGTAAGACCTAAAGGGTCTTTTTGACATTTTTGGGGGGAGTTTTTTTTATTAAACACCGGTTCTTCTTACGAAGATCAGCTACAAAAGCAGCTGCAATGTTTAATTATAATGACCAGATGTACATTCTTTAAAAGCTTACAGAACTATTTTTATAGTGTAGCTGCACACTGCAGAAAGTCAGATGAAACAGGAACACAAAAACACCAATGCTCTTCTTCCAGACAGCCTCTAGGAAAACAAATGAAATGCCAGTGAAATCAGGCACATCAATGGGGGGGGCTTAATTAAATCTCATTTACCAGTTTACATCACCAAGCCACCTGTTAGAGGTACAGGAGATATACAGTGGAGAAACTTGCTTTCTTCATATACGAAAGATGCTACAACACTGCAGGTCAGCACAGAGAAATGCATTGGAACACGTCTCCTCTGCATGTGTGTTAGGTAATTAGGTAAAGAACTCTCAGATCGTGATCAACTACTCAAAACAGAATAAACTAGAATAAATGATCTCTTGAGAAAGTTTGCTGAAATGTCAGGTATCTAATCAGAAAGTCAGAGAGAACGCAGAGGATGAGTATTTTGAACCTTGTACATCGGGTCATGCTGGAGGTCTGATGAAAACAATGACTGAGTTACCAGCGGCTTCTCATGAGTGGGTGTAGTCACTGCTGCAGACAGAATTGTCTAATGCACCCACAATAGTTGTACAACAAATAGATGGTTTTATATTTCTGGCAGCTCCACATTAAGCACATTACCTGTCAAAAAGCACAGATACCCGCTCCATGGCGACAATGACAGACTCGCTGTCCGGGGCAGCAGGACTTGGATCTGTGGTACGACCAGGGCTGATCTTCTCTTTACCTACATAAAGAAACAGCAACATGATCAAATCTCTACATTACTCAACGTTAGGGAAAACGTATTGGTATGTTGTATCATCAATTTAAGCCAACCCTACGAAGCTGTTTCAGCCAACTCCTCTACTTCACCCCAGACCCCTCTTCATACTCCCGCCATGAAGACTTCTCACGTGCCTCTCCCCTAAAACCTTTCCACACACCACGCATCATGCTTTAACCCTCCTAATGCACCCTTGAAGCTCATCTTTAGAAAAAACACAGTTTGCCCACACATTCACTCATTGGTCAACTACTGCTATTAGACACATGAATCTGTAAAAAAAAAAATAAGTCAAGGCAACTGGACTTGCTGTATTTTTCTTGAAGATGTTTCACTGGTCATCAGACCAGCTTTCTCAATTCAGAAAGACTTGTACAAAAAATGATCTGGGAATAAATATCGTGAATGTTGCTCCAATCCACATAATCTGTTAGTCACAACCCGGTGTTGATTGTATTTGCATAATTGGAGTCTAGGTGTTATTAACCTGCCCAAAAAGAGAGGTGTTAAAACAGCATTGTATGTGGCAGACAATAGATGTCTCACCCCCTTCTATTTAAGCTTGGCTTCTCCATTTTTACATAAACGGCCTCTTTCACACCTCTTTTAAACCAGTCCTTCTCCCGGTCTAGGATGCGTACTTGACTGTCTTCAAAGGAGTGACCTTTTTCCTTTAGATGTAGGTATACTGCTGAATCCTGACCAGAGGGTTTGGCTCTTCTATGCTGTGCCATGCCCTGATGTAGCTGCTGTTTTGTTTCACCGACATACAATTCTGAGCCCTCCTCACTGCATTGGACTGCATACACAATGTTGTTCATCTTTTGTTTTGGCGTTGGGTCTATTAGACACATGGGGGCATATTTATAAAGCAAGTAATGTGAAATTCACCATATATTCACTGCAGGTGAATCAATCTCAATTATTTAAAACACATCCATCAGAAGCATTCATCTGCAGTGAGCATCACATTCACTGCCTCATCAATATACCCCATGCTGTCAGATTTAAAATAAGTTACCCCTTCTCTTGCCTTACATTCCCCACTTATCCTCCTCTCACACAATGATGTTTCCCTTTTTTGCCCTCTGTTGGTTTCTGTGTTACTGAATGCACGGTATTACTTTATTATCTGTATTAGTTATCAATGCTAGTTATATATACACTGTACACATTTTCAATGCCCAAGATGAAAGTTCCCCAAGTACCTGATTTACTATAGTGTGGAATGAGTGAGGTGAACCTATGTGCAGTTTAAACATCCAATTGAAGAAAACAAAAAATAGAGTCTCTTTATGTAATTGGATGTTGGAAGGGAACAAATCTTTACTTTATGTGAAGCATTCGAAAATCAGTCCTTCTGCATACAAGTGTTAGAAGACGGAGCGTGATTATAGTCCTGTCACGGAACAGGTTGATGTGTCCCAATTAGACAGTACCCATTACCACAATAGGGTCACATAATACCCACCTGTGTACATGCATGTCAGCATCAATCCTAGCGCAGTCATAGCCCTGTGTGGGCTGTGCATATTCACCCTGTCCACACTCAGCTTCACCAGGGCCTCCCCGTCCAGCCTGGAGAGCTGCTCGGACAGCAGGAGGCGCTCTAGACCTCTCAGGACACAGTGGTATATCATGGAGGGTGTGGATTCCTCACTCCCTGACACCATCACTCCACACATCTGAGAGAGAGAGAGACACACAGACACTGTATGAATGTATGAAAGTTGACATGTTCAAATAAAGCAATGTTCTAATATTCACTGTATAATCTAAAAACGCCTCCAGCCCACATTCGTCTCACAAATGATGGGGCACTATCCCTCCCACTGACAGCAACAATGGGGCACAATTCCCCCTACTGACCCCAACAATGGGGCACAATTCTTCCCACCGACACCAGCGATGGGGCACCATACCTCCCACTGAGACAAAATGATGGGGCACCATCCCTCCCACTGACACCAATGATGGGCCCCTATCCCTCCCACTGACACCAATGATGGGCCCCTATCCCTCCCACTGACACCAATGATGGGCCCCTATCCCTCCCACTGACACCAATGATGGGCCCCTATCCCTCCCACTGACACCAATGATGGGCCCCTATCCCTCCCACTGACACCAATGATGGGCCCCTATCCCTCCCACTGACACCAATGATGGGCCCCTATCCCTCCCACTGACACCAATGATGGGCCCCTATCCCTCCCACTGACACCAATGATGGGCCCCTATCCCTCCCACTGACACCAATGATGGGCCCCTATCCCTCCCACTGACACCAATGATGGGCCCCTATCCCTCCCACTGACACCAATGATGGGCCCCTATCCCTCCCACTGACACCAATGATGGGCCCCTATCCCTCCCACTGACACCAATGATGGGCCCCTATCCCTCCCACTGACACCAATGATGGGCCCCTATCCCTCCCACTGACACCAATGATGGGCCCCTATCCCTCCCACTGACACCAATGATGGGGCACCATCCCTCCCACTGACACAAATGATGGGCCACTATCCCTCCCACTGACACAAATGATGGGGCACTATCACTCCCACTGACACAAATGATGAGGCACCATCCTTCCCACTGACACAAATGATGGGGCACTATCCGTCCCACTGACACAAATGATGGGGCACCATCCCTCCCACTGACACAAATGATGGGGCACTATCCCTCCCACTGACACAAATGATGAGGCACTATCCCTCCCACTGACACAAATGATGGGGCACCATCCCTCCCACTGACCCCAACAGTGTGGTACAAATCTGCCCACTGACACCAACATTTGGGCACAATTCTTCCCAGTGACAACAACGAGGCACTATTCCTCCCACTGACACCAATGATGTGCCACTATTTCCCCCGCTGACACCCAACAATCGGGCTTTATTCCTCTCCCCACTGACCAAAGGCCTTAAAGGAGAACTATGGGGTTAGGGGTTTTCCCCATAGTTCTCCTAAGGGTAACGGGAGGACACAAACTAGCGTCCTCCCGTCACCCTAAGCTCAGTATACCGCGAGCTACAGCTCGCGGTATACTGAGACGCCGCAGCTGAAACGGATCCCGACAATTATGTCTGGATCCGCCCAGCTGCGTGACTGACAGTTGGCGCTGCCTATCTAGAGGCAGAGCCAGCTGTACCCGCCCCCTTCCCCGTCCGTTCCTCCAGTCAGCGCTGGAGGATCGGAGCGGGGAGGGGGGAATCCAGTCACTCCCCTGTCACGGCATGGCTCTCACTCCGGTATGTGTTCGCTCACTTCCCGATCTACTGAGCCGACCTGTGACAGT